ACCCTTGGCTTCAGATGGCCTCTTTTCCCTGTGTGGTCATGAAGCCTTCTCTCTGCCTGTCTGTGTACAACCTCCTCTTCTTCTAAGGATACTGGCCATGCTGGATAAAGTCTCCCCCAATTACTTCATTGTGACTTGATTAGCTGTATAAAGGCCTTAACTTTAAATATAGTCATATTTTGATATAGTAAGGAATAGGACTTGGATATAGGAATTTGGGTGGGACACAAGTCAGCCTATAATAAGGGGTATCAGAGGGACCTTCATTTCTGGAGTGTAAAGGGCACCACCATAACATGTTATGGACATAGAAGTTCATAGTTACACAAAGTAGGTGTCAGAGTCCCTTTCATTGATGCAACAACTCCAGAGGGGTCCTTGAATCCAGGATCGACCATTCAGGGGCATATATCCTATGAGGGGTAAGAAAACCAGCTATCTGGGCACAGAATCAGTAGAGTACCCTGAAAGGTCATGATCATTGGCCCCAGGCCTGGGGATTTGTCAATATGCCAGATTTTCCCCAGTAGGACATCTCATCAGAAATTGAGATTGGCAATGCTTTCATTAAACATCTTTGATTTATTCATTTATTTATCAGATTAATATGAGGGTACAAATGATTAGGTTACATTGTTTGCATTTGTTAGGTAAAGTCCAAGTTGTAGTTGAGGCCTTCACCCAGGGGGTATGCTGTATACCCTTACATTATGCCCATTAGGTGAGAACTTACCTCTCCCTCCTCCCTTCTGCCTTTTCTCCCCTCTCTCCTCCCTCCTCCAGTTGAATTTAATTGTATTTTTGCTCTCACATTCAGGTGTAGTTGTTTATATATTGGTTTCAAATTAGTACTGAGTGCATTTGATACTTGCTCTTCCATTCTTGTGATAACTTTACTATGAAGAATGTTCTTCAACTCCATCTAGGCAAATGCAAAAGATGCAAAATCTCCAACTTTTATGGCCATATAGTATTCCATGCTATACATATACCACAGTTTATTAATCTATTCATGAGTTGAAGGGAACTTGGACTAATTTCGCAACATGGCAATTGTCAATTTTTCTCATGTCTTGGAAGAATCCACACTGTTAACATGTCCATTCTACCCAAAGTGATCTATAGATTTAATGCAATCCCATCAAAATACGAATGCATTGAAGAACCTGAAAAAATAGCACTTCATTTCAAATGGAACCAGAAAAAAAACCTCAAATAGCCAAGGCAATTCTAAGAGATAAAAACAAATCTGGAGGCATCACGTTACCAGACTTCAGGTTATACTGGAAATCTACAATGATTGAAACAGCGTGGTATTGGCACAAAAATGGAGATATAGATCTATGGAATAGAAAAGACAACCTACAGCTGGACCCAGCCACATATCGCTACCTGATCTTTGATAAACCAAACAAAAGCATACACTAGGGAGGAGAATCCCTATTTATTAAATGGTGCTAGGAGAACACGTTAGCCAATGCAGAAGACTGAAGCTGGATCTGCACATCTAGCCACTTATAAAAATTGACTTTCACTGGAGAAAATATTTAAATTTAAGACACAAAATGGTCAAAGTTTTAAAATAAAGGATGGCAAAAACTCTTTAACAACAATGACCTGAAAAAAAGATTTTATGTGGAAGACCCTCTTGGCAATTGCAGCAACACCAAAAAGAAGGGAATGGGTCATGATCAAACTAAAAAGCTTCTGAACAGCTAAGTGTGCAACAACAAGAGCATCCAGACAATCCTAAGAGTGGAAGAAGATATTAGCCTGCCATGAATCGGACAAACGGTTGATGACATGTTTTATAAAATCCTAAGCCAAGCATTTTCTTTTTTCTCTTTAATATATCTAATCAAGATACTTGGCATGTGACATTATCAGTAATCACAATTGGTAAAAAATTCCCATTTTATATGTTTAAACATTAGAATAGTGGAGTCAATGCCAGATTCTTATATTCAGCCGAAATATTTCTCTTGGCTTTTCTCAGTGGAGGGCAGCTTCTGAGGGACCAAGAGTGAAACCTCTGGCCCCCAGGTCAGAGGAACAGAGCTATTTTAACTAATATATTCAACAAATAGTGATAATAAAGTGAAATGAGTCTTGAAAGAGTAAAAGATGAAGTTCTGGGAAGAAGCCCAGGTTAACATATCAAATATAGCCTGTCCATTAAAATGTTTTAAGTGACCCATTTCTTATATTCCATATTCAGAGGAGGGGTATACTGTCTTCCCCTTTGTGTTCAAAGGGCCACAGGGAGTCCAGAAACCCTATTTCATATTCTAATATGTCACCAGTGTCATTCAAGAAACTTCTCATTTTTCTTTCCCTTTCTTGAACATATACTGTGAGGAATACTCAGAAAAACAGTCCCATTACCTTCGCGTGAGCACGTGAATCCCTCAGCAGCTGGACTCAACCTCAGGCTGTGAGCATGTGCTTTGTGGGGGCTGCGGAAGGAGATGATGTGGGTTTGACACTTAACCTTCCCTCGTAGCCACAAAAGTCAGTGGTTCTCTAACTTCCATTTTGCAGAGCAGCTCTTCCTCTTAGGAATGTGATGTAGGAAGAATCACTTGTTTGGAGAAGAGACGGTATAAGCAAGATCCAGCAGGGAAAGTAAATTCAGTGTGCGTCCAGGTTTCAAAATGCCTTAAAATACTGACTGTCTGGAATTTTTTTCCATGAATTGCTACTTAGAAAGTCACTAGAGTCTGCATCACTCTCTTATTTGCTCCCTGGCATTTTGTTTCGAAGAGGAGAAACAGGAATGCCAAAAACCCCACCACTTTGGGAACAGCAATCACATCAAAGATTGTATAAATGACTATTCACCAATGGTACAGCTCCCCTGAGTATCCCTGGGACGGGATAGCACCTGAGCAGTGGGCAGGATAACCTAACACTCAACCCGATATAGACACGAGGAAAGATAGATGGGAAAAGGCCACTGGGCCTGTGGCCTCCAAGATGGGAATCAACAGGAAACGCTATGTAACCCAAGTCAAGAACGAAGGGAGTTTATGTGCTTCTTAAGCAAATTAAGATCCTGAATTTATACCAGTGGTTTGGTGGAAAGGATAGAATGAAGATGGATTGGAAGAAGATTCTGGAGTGCAAGACTTAACATTGAGAAGCCACTCTAGTAAATGTCCATATTCAAAATATGAGGCTGGACTAGTTTTCAGGGATGAGAGGGCTGGGCACTTAGCTCAAGTTTTCACTGGATCCCTACGTGGAATTCTAGAGTGTTTGAAGTCTATTCATTGACTTGAAGCAAACATCTTTATATATATATTTCCCCAGCAGGGTCAAAGAACTAGATAACATCCTCTAAGAGAAGTAACAGCCACTTTCCCAAGTTGATTTTTAGGAATTGGAGGCAATGTCTGAATAGACTTGAACTAAACATTGATGGGTGAAATCAATTTGGGGCCATACTTAGAAAAGAAAAATCTTCCAAAGTTGTTTTTACTTTCTGTTCATAGTGATTTCATAACAATATAGAGGATGTGATTCTAATGCCCCCCCCCCACTTATTGCTCTGACCTGCAGATTATTGAAATAGTGTATCTGCCTTGACCCCTTTTCTTCCACTTGTTCAGGCAAGTTCAAGAGCACGTAAATAAGCTGCTGCAGGAAATGCCAAGACATAGATAAATGAGGATATAGCTGTTGGCACATAAACTGCTTAAAAAGTTACAACAGTATGCTAATTAGCCTTTAATATACTTAAAGTGAAAAACAGAATTCTTTAAGATTCAAGAAAGCTTAGCAAATGGTACTCGTCAAAGTGAGAAAAGGGCTGAAACCAGGCTGCACTTTTCCTCTTTAAAAACTCAAGTTCAGTTAGCAGAAGGATATTTGCATTTGTTTATTAAATACCTCTAGTTAAACAAAGGAGACTAGACCAAGGCCACCATGTTGTCACCTATCACTACTGTGTTTTGTTAGAAAATCAACGACCTTACTTCCATCTGTACTCTGTGGAAAGTGCCTTTGATTTTTAAGAGAAAGAACTATTGTCATTGGAAACATTAATTATCTTTCCCAAAATAACCATTTCCCAAATTTATAATGTGTCATTCTTGCTATGTAATGAACTTTGAAGAAAAAAAGTGGGGAATTACCACTAAATCTTAGGGCACTAACATTTTAATTTATTTTCACCCCACTTTTTACCTAGCTATTAGTTTTTCCCAGGGCACGCCTTACTCTGTCTATTGAAAATCTCGTGCTATCCTAAGTTTCCGAAGGGCAATTGTTAATTTCTACTGAGCACTTTTAGGCCACCGTAGTGTGTAAGACTGTACCTTTAAGTCCAGGCTCATAAGAAGAAATAGCTATGACCTCTAAGAATTCAGTAAATGATCATTTTTTTCCCACTTGCATCTAAGGCTGTCACTTCCTCCATTCCTCGCCTCCTTATGCAAACTAGAAAATGACGGGGCGTGGAGGGCATGATTTGGGCAGCCGGTTGGAAAGCAGCCAAGCCAGGTCCACCGGCGCGTCTGGAGTGAAAGGGCGTGAAGACTCAGGGTCTCCTGCTCCGTTCTGGCCAATCTAGATAGTGTGGTTCCATCTTACTTTTGATGAGTTAAATAAGACAAAGGAAGTTTATCAAATGAGAGTATAAATGGAAATAGGACAGACTGACATCAAAAGCTCGGAGGGGCTTTCCTGAACCTTAACCCCACCCTCCCTCGGAGTGTCCAGCCTCGCCTGCGCCTGTTCTTCAGCTTGTTGGCTGAGCCAGATATTTAGTTTCTGTCCCCGCCCTCAACTGTGAGTCAATGCTCCAAGATACCTTTTCTTTCTTCTGGAATCCCCCATTTTTCCTGAAGCTTCCTCCCTCATCTCTCTCCGCCTTTGAGTCTCCAGCAAGCCACGTTTTGGTCTAAGTTCACAAATCCGCTTTTCAGAGAATGGTTTTTTAGCTCACCACAAAACCACAAAGCTTCAAAGAGAAATCTAGAAGTGTGCAGAGGACTCACCATAAATGGGGTCCGCGTCTGCAACAGCAAAAACGGCCACGGTGCGTCTCCGGGAGTCACCCCGGGCCGGCTTCAGACAGCACTGCAGGCAGAAGAGCGCGAGTCCGCAGAGCAGGGCGGCCGAGCAAACCAGCAGGAGGGGCCTACGGCCAAGAGCACAGCCAGAAGGGTGAGGCAGAGCGTCAGGGAAGCTCCGAGCTTCTGTTACCCTCCGCAAAGGTGGCAAGGCCTCAGCGCAAGGCAGCCCTAATTCCTCAAGCGAGTCCCTCCTGCTCCCACCGCCACTGCTCCGACATTCCCACCCAAGCTCCAACACCCTCTTCCTTTCGGAGCGCTGATCTAGTCTAGACGGTCATAAGCATTTTCTCCTTGGAAATTGGAGGGTAATTCTGAAAATTTGTGCCTTGGTTCCTTAATTTTTCATCCATTGTTTTTTTCATTTAACCATCCATCCATTCATTTCATTGGTAGTTAAGCAACCGAACATATTTTAGGTACTGGGGTTAGAGACTCAAAGGTAGACCAGGCAGGGACTCTGCCTTTGAGGTGCTAACCATCTAACTGAGAGAAGGGATGCTTTGTAAAATACGAATCTCAAGATTTACAAGATTATAGTAACTGCCTTAAAATTTCTGGAAGACTACCTCATCAAACAGGTAGCAGTCTTATTTTGAATGGCTTTTAAGGCCAGAACTAAAGTCAGTGCAGGAGTCATTCAGGGAGATTTCATGAGAAAGAACAAGCATTTTACCATGAAAAAAATTTCAACTCCAGAATAAACTCTTACTCTTCAAAATAGTGAGTTCTCTGTCACAACTGGTGTTTAAGTAAACACTGGCCAATGACCTAAAAGCAGTGTTTCTATAGATAATTGATTTGCATAAAGCCTAAACTTGTCTTAAGCCATATGATTTCTTGTTCTACCTCCAATTATGTAGGAAAAATGTGTGTCTATACCACCCAACATCTTATAAAACAAATCGAAGATATCCTTACCAGATATACCAACCATTAGGGTGTTGACCTTTATAATTTACACACCTAGTGATAAGGGAAGATCAGTTAGTGTTGGAGCTCTAGATGGACAAAAGCCTATTTCTTCGGACTATGAAATTTATACGGACCACACATGTGTTCCCAGAATAATCATCTACTTATTATCATCCCAACTCTCCTCCCACAATTATGCAGATGTTTAGCCTAGGCTCAGTGAGGATACAGATAAATGTGATGCTATAAGACGTGTACACAGATAATTGCACTAAAGTAGGCTTGGTTCTAGAGTTGCAAATACTCATGTGTATTGAGAAGGCAGTGTGACTAACTCTTCAGGACAACCTGCTGTAGGTATTAGGTATTAGACAGATAATCAATGTATCCATCCTTTACTCTATAGACCTAAAGTTCTTGAAAATCCAAATTCTCTAGAGAAAGTTTATAATATCTGTAAAGCTTTAATATCTTGATAGAGAATGGCAGTCATTGGTGAGGAAAAAAGTCAGGTCAGTAGGAAAGTGAATGAATATGGCCCCAAGTACCATTTACCGAGGAGTTAGAAGTTGATCCCTTCAGTCAGGAGGGTCCAATAATTTATTATCTAGGTGCAACTCAATCATTCCTGAGATAACTTTTAAAAGGCTACACATAAATGAAGTGCATTGTGTGATTTTGACTCTGCAGGTGTAGAGAAACATGTTATTCATGACGGAGTCCCTCACTGGGCCAGACATGATGGCCTGAATGTTTGTTTGCTGATGGACCTTTTGAATACCTCAATATGTGGCTCCTGTCAAGATATTCTGAACCTCACAGTGGAAACTTGCCCATCACTGTCCAATATGCTTCTGAGATAGAGCTATACTTATGCCTTCTTTGGCCGTTGTTAAAAAAAACCTCAGTCCTTTTCAACTTGAAAGCATTCATAAATGCCAGCATATGTATTGCTTCCAGCATCCTCCAGGAGGCAGTGTTTCATGCTGTCATCATACTAGTCAGAAATGGCTTTTTACCATACATGAAGTGTCATCTTAAAATTTTTACCCCAAACATTTAAAAAAAATCCCCCAGAATATGGATTATTTCATCCCCTTCTATATATATAAATTTTCTGCTTCAGTTTTTTTGTTTTTTGTTTGCTTGTTTTTGAACACGTACAAGGTTTACTAAAGTTCACAGATGCAAATGCCTAGGGGAAAATGGCAACTGAGTTATGACTTTAACAAGCGTTTTAAGACAAGTGACCATCAATAAAAATTTAAAAAATAATTAATGGCACAGACTGACAAAGGAACACTAGTCATCAAAGAGAATGTAGACTTATGTCAATAACTAAGAGTCTCATTGAGTAAAATAGTAGAAAGTACTCAGTCCTACTTTGTAAATACTCTTTTACACAAATACAATCATTTAACCAAAATAACTACTAGTTAAATATAAATATATGCCAAACTACTAACAGTGCTTACTTCTAATAAAGACATATTATAAAGTACATCATCATTTTAATATTTTTATATTGTTTAAATTGTTATGATGTGCATGAATACTTTGTAGTGAGAAAAAACTAACATATTATATGCAAAATATAAAAATACTAAAAATATAATATTCCACTCAGAGATGGATCTAGGAAAATCCATGTCCTGGCCCAATTAAAGGGCAGACAGTTTTTGCTTTTGATTCTTGACATCTAACTTTCTGTCTGGGAACTTCTCCTGTTTCTCTTTATTTCCATGTTAAAATAACCCATATTCTTATCATTAAAGTCAGTTCTAAATGTTAACTACCTCTCTTCATTTTTAATTCTAATTTTTGAGCCACCAATAGTTTTCCAGTGCCAACCCAGACTGACTTGACTCCACTCTCTCATTCTGGTTCTGTGCACCCTCTGGTGGAGGTTCTGATCAGCAGTACAAAGTGACCAGGAAGCAGTTCCCATGCGATTTCCGAAGTGCTTGCACCTTTGGAACTGTTGATTTCACCCTTAAGATTTTATTCATTGTACAATTTAGACCCCAGGTGGAGAAATTGGACAGGTCTCTGGTTGGGGAACTTAACCTGTAGGTCTTCTGAGTTCACATGCTTTCCTTCCTCTCCAACAATTATTTCCAAACTTTCTTAAATATGTTCTTTAACAGAGATACTTTGAGTTCTCAAAAAAAAAAAAAAAAAAAAAAAAAGCAACAGTATTCTAATTACTCAAATCGTATATGGAAGATAGATCATCGGTATAGGAAAAGTTATAATTTTGACAATGATGTTACTACTTAGGGATTGGTCTAATTGAGAATTGAGAGCTAACTGTAATGTTCAAGGAAGACATTTGGAATAATAATAATTCTCTGGAAGTACTTATTGAAGAAGACAATTTCTGTCCCTACCAGAGGGCTACTATCTCCTTTTTACCTGGTTGCTGTAGAGTGATGCCTGCTCTGTTGATCTTTATCATTGTTCTCAGTGCTGATAATCTGTGGGTCTAACATTAGTGCTTAAATCATTAATTTAATAAATTGAAGAAGAAATCCACAGACTAGCCCCATAGACTTTGCTGTTATAATAACCTCGTGTGTCCTAGACCAGGCACTCAGCTAAACCAGTGGGGAACTTCCTGTGAAATAAATCACACTCAAACTGGCAAGCATCCGGTAGGATAAGAATATTGTAATCCTCCTTTTAAAATTGAGAAAACTCAGTCAGAGAGAGGTTAAGTAAGTTGTCCAAGAAAACACAGTTTGAAGTGGCAGAGGCAAATTTAAATGATTTGGCTGTAGAGTCCATGTCTCTTAGCCCCGTGCAAAACTACAAACGGGACTAGCAGAAGCCAGCTCTAGCCTCAGAGTGCTGTTGGAACATTGCCCGAACGATCGCAATAGCCTGTGTGCCAAAATGCTTTAACAACAAACACACAAATGAAATTTAGAAACGAGAGCATGGAGAATATCAGACAAATGGAATAGGCCAAGAGTGAGGTCAGGTGGTAAACAAATGTAGTAAATCTCATATATAAAATCAGAACTGACTCCAGATCTGGCGTAAGCTTTCTAGCATTTAGCAGGATGAGAGAGAGAGAAAGAGAATAGGTTATATAGCCTCTCTAAAGTTAAAAACAAAGAACGTTACTCATCAGATGTATGACAATTCCTGGTATAGAAACCAGAGAAAAATTCAAATTATGAGGCCTCATAAAGAGAAAGCTGTTAACAGTAGGAGCAACGCTTTCCATAACGTCTCAGAATGAATGCAGTAAAAGATTTCATGGATTTGTTTCTTTTATAAAATCATTACTCAACATAGGCCAAAGTGCAATTCAGCTACAATAATTTGAGGGAGGAATGAGTCTCAAATCATACTAGACAGACTCTGTTGGTAAATTCTTCAGTATCTAGAAGAATGAGTTGATTACATATCCCTCAGTTATTTGAATCTGTCTCTCAATTTGCATGGAAAACATTTAACTTCACCAACCCAAGTAATATGCATTAGGGAGTCTATTAATGTAATTAATTTATAGAATCCTTTATATGTATAATCATATTTATGTTTTATAAATAAATGTATTTATATATATACATGCACATCAGTGTACTTGGTTATTTATGGAGACAGGAGTGGACAGGTGTAATCTTTTATGTTTTATTTTATACCAAAATCTATCTACAATATTCAGACTTTCTAGAAAGACAACAAAGCAATGAATTTTTCATACTAAAAATGCCACTATAAAAATGAGTTGGTTAGTTCAGAAAACATGGTCTAGGCAGGGGTCCACAAACTTTTTAAACAGGGGGCCAGTTCACTGTCCCTCCGACTGTTGGCAGGCCGGACTGAGGGCCCCTGGGATGAGTCAGCTGCTAAGCAGGACAGGCAGCAGTGGCAAAAACACCTGGCGGGCTGGATAAATGTCCTAGGTGGGCTGCATGTGGCCCGTGGGCCGTAGTTTGAGGACACCTGGTCTAGTGTTTAAAAACAAATTTAAACAAGAACAATAGATCAATTATTTAAAAAAATAGAGAATATATGCAAATTATTTTGACAATTTCTTAGTACCCAAAAGTTGATAAATAAAAATATTTTTGTTTGCGGCTAATCAGGGACTCCCCCACCTCAGTCTCCACCGAGGCAATTCATTTTTCAGGTGTTTCTTTTCTATAACCTTCTTATAACCTCAAATTCAAGTCCCTCTTTTTCTGTGTCTGTTTTGCATGTGAGCTTTGGGCAAGTTGCTGTCCTCTTATCTCTGTCATTTCTTTTTTTTTCTTTTCTTTTCTTTTTTTTTTGCAGTTTTTGGCCAGGGCTGGGTCTGAACCCTGCCACCTCCCTGCCACAGGCACCACCCTTATCTTTGTCATTTCTAAAAGATGCTTGGGGGAGACCACCTCTTGGATCTACTGTGTTTTTGTTACTCTCTTGTGGCAGTTCCGGTAAAGAGGAATATGCCCTTTGGCTGGGTAGCACATTTCCGTAGAGGGTAATACCTCAGATCAAAGAAGTGATTCTAAACTGAAAATTTTTTGAAGGAACATAGATAAAAAGGATTTTGTTTGAGGAGGGGCTTTTTATTTTCTCAGAAAATAGCATGGCTTTCATTGGAGACTCATGCCAGGAACGCTGTCCTATGGTAGCAAACGATTCCAGATACCGCGTCCAGAGTCTTTAACACGTTTACTTAGGTTGTACTGCTTTTGTACATCCCAGTCACTCTCTTGCCTTCTCTGTCTTTATTTCTGCTAATTTGCATGTTATTTGTGGTGGTTTCTTGTTTTTACTCCAAGAAGCAATGGTTTCAAAGAACGATGAACATTATGGACATTTAGATGCAAAATGCTGCAGCTGCAAAAGGTTCCAGGTAAGTGCCGTTTGCATTTCTGCTATTAATTTACTCTCTCTAGGTCTCAGTTTCTTCACTGGACAAGATCAGTAGCCTTGGTGGCTCTAAAGTCAGCATAAAAAGTTCCTGAATATCGTATTTTCCAGTCATGTTGATTAGAGGGATTCAGTATTTAAGATCATTCCAATTATGCATTTCCTGATTCTATTATTTTGAATCAGATGCAGAAACTGGGGAGGCAAGATAAGAACATGCCAGCCGTTCAGAATCAGGTAACAATACGAACAATAACAATTCTGTTCTGTCACAAACAGCGTAACATAGCCAAATAATCAGGTCCCAAATTAAGGTAATAAAATGGCAATGGGAGCCACACTAGAGCTGGAAGAACCGCCCACATTTAAGAAGTAGATTGTCTAACATAAGATGCTTCACCAGAAAGAGGTGAATGATTCCAGGGCCAGGAAAACACCCCACCTTAAGTGATCTCTTACTCTAGGGCCAGTGACCAGAGACCTGGCTTGTAAGGCGGCAGGCAATGATAACTGAAAGCAGCCAGCGGGCAGTGGGGGCTGCAACCTGGGGAAACCATCTCGACAGAGGTCCTCTCTGACCTGGGCACTGACTCACAGGGCATTAGGGTCACCACTGATAGTCAGCAGCATTACTGATAAGCATCTATCCCCATCTCCCATTAAGCCTATAGGACAAAAAGTGAGGAAACTGAGCCAATTATTCACACAACCATATCACAAGTACTTTGAAATATACACACAATCGGGCTGGTGCACTGGCTCATGCCTGTAATCCTAGGACCTTGGGAGGCTGAGGTGGATAGAATGACTGAGCAAGAGAGAGAGACCCTGTCTCTACTAAAAACAGAAAAACTAGCCAGGTGTGGTGACAGGTGTCTGTAGTCCCAGCTATTCAGAAGCTGAGGCAATAGAATCTTACTGAGTCCAGGAGTCTGAGGTTGCTGTGAGCTGTGATGCCACAGCTCTCTACCTAGTATGAAAGTGAGACTCTGTCTCAAAAAACAAACACACACACATACATACACACACAGGACACAGGTTACAATTTCAATTAGTGTGCTTATATCTGAAACTGATTTATCCAGAAAATTGTCATCACCACAGACTTGGAGTTTGAACACAGCCATAGATAATGTCGTGACTCTTTCAGGAACTTAAAGTGCCCTTGAAACATGGAGAGAAGAGAATTCAGTGAGTGAAAACCCTTAGAATCCTACTAGACCTCTGGTTTATTTAACAAAGCAGGTCATAATAAAAATTATCTTTCTTGTTTTTAGAAAAATTAAGCTATCTGCATTTAAAATTGATTTCCCTTTCTTCTTATGTGATTATAATGGTTATTTGAAACTCATATGAAGATTCTCAAATGACTTGAGTCTTTTTTATTATTTAAACTTTCAAAATGCTAAATAAAAACATGGAGTTGTCAGCTATTTACTTACATTTCTTTTTCTTCACATGGTGTGTCCGAGAGCACCGACTGAAACACAAGTTTAGAACAATAAAATCTAACCATCTCCTCAGTCTAATCCTTTCATATAAACAGTGCCTAGAGACAATGTGGGTTTATATCATTTTGTTTGCCTTTTTAATTAAAAGCTCCATAGCAGAGTTATTGTTTGTGCACAGAATTTTAATTGGAAAAAAAATCTCTGGGTAGATTCTGAAGCTCAGCAGTGAGAAGCTGTACCTTGTGAACCCGATCCCTATCCTGTAAAACACTGCAGATGGATAGGACAAATCTTTTTTGTTTTTCTACAGGAAGATTTTGCTTACTCCAAAGACCGTTGTGTACCTTGAGTTTTTTGTTTTTATATTTTAGCTAGAGGAAGCAAGTTCCTTATTTACAAATATTATTTTCAGGGGAAGAATACAAATTCCAAGCATGCACCTGGAAATAAAAGTCAACCAATTAGTTTTAATGAGTGTTAAATATATTCATGATGGGTAGACTTATCCTGCTCTAAGGCTAAGGACCATTTAAGTGATATGGCACTCTCTTTCAGATTTCTAATGGGGTTCACAATAAAAAAGCAGATAAAAAGATCTGCTCTTTTATAAAAAAAGAGGGAAAAGTCCCAGATCGTAAGCATTCTAACACAGTTAGCTTAGTTCTCTGTGTAGAGCCTCATCGGTTATAACATCTTATATCCACAATCACAAGGAAACACCATACTCCTTTCTACATGGTTGTTTGTTTGTGTATTGTTTGTTTGCTTTACCTCTTTTTTTTTTTTTTTTTTTTGAGACAGAGTCTCAAGCTGTCCCCCTGGGTAGAGTGCCATGGCATTACAGCTCACAGCAACCTCCAACTCCTGGGCTCAAGCGAGTCTCCTGCCTCTGCCTCCCAAGTAGCTGGGACCACAGGTGCCCGCCACAACGCCCGGCTATTTTTTGGTTGCAGCCGTCATTGTTGTTTGGCGGGTCCGGGCTGGGGATTCGAACCCGCCACCTTAGGTGTACGTGGCTGGCACCTTAGCCGGTTGAGCTATAGGTGCCGAGCCTTGCTTTACCTCTTGAACTGTAACTGCTTCTTTGTACAATGAGAACATCTTTAAATGCCATTGATAGTAAGTATATACCTCTAAAAACTGGGTCTCTTGAAGTATTTATTTATAGTATGCAAATAAAAGTATGAGTAAGGAGTTACAGAATGTAAAATGACAGACTCGGGACTTGTGTGTGAGATACATCTTCTCCCTGCTTAATCCCAAATGCGTCTTCTTCAGCACCTTGTGTTTACTCCAACGGGTTTATCTGGGCAAAGAGATTTGTGGAGTTGCAGATGGAGCCACGAATTGGCCATCCGAGAGCACGGTAATGAACAATTTATAAGCACAGAAAATAAGGTGCATTCTTTCTTGGTAGAGGGCTACATATAGATTTGCATACTAACTGAGAGGAAAATGAACATTCAAACTTGGTCCATAAAGAAAGTTTATATGTGGGTCCGTCAAATCACTGGGGATCCCCCTTCACAGAATAAAGGCAGAATGTCACTTTCCAGTCCCTTCCCAGTCTTCTCTGCCTGTTGTCCCCTAGCAGGAGTCTGAAGTGTTAAATTATTACCACCTCACTGCCAGTGGATTAGCTGTCAGACTTCTGGGTTATTATGAACTGGCAAGTAAAGTCTTAATATACTTCAGATCTAAATCTTGCAGATACATTGCATTCAAGTAACACAGACACAGAGTTGCAGGTATTAGTCAGAAAGGGATGTGGGAGTAGAGGAACTAAAATAAATCCCAGAATGGTTCTGTCTATATCAGACAGCATCGAAAAACTGTCATGTATCAAGTATGGTAGCCGGCAACAGTAAACATGTTTTAAATGGACACAGCCATAGCATCTTACTGGATAGCAACAGTATTTGGGGATCTTCCTTAAACAGTTATAATATCTCAAAGCCAGAGAAACACTAAATTTTTATCACATTATTTCAATAACAATGGAACAAAATAAAGGGAAATAGGGTGGTGCCTGTGGCTCAAAAGGGTAGGGCACCAGCCCCATATGCCTGAGGTGGTGGGTTCAAACCCAGCCCCGGCCAAAAAAAAAAAAAAAAAAAAAAAGAATATTTAAAAAAAATAAATAAAAATAAATAAAGGGAAATAGGACTGTTGTGCTGGCACTTTGCTTTCTGTGTCTCTGACCTCTGAGTATAGTGTAAGTCATGAGGTGCTGGGAACACTTTCTTAAATGAGGTCATTTAAGTGTAGAAATAGTTAAGTTGACCAAAGAACAAATCTATAGCACATGAAATCCTCTGAGTACCTCTGAAAATCTTTTCCAGAAAGAGAGATGGTTACCTGGAATAGAGGCAAACACAAGGTTCCTGTTGTTGAGATGACAGTCGTGACACTCAAAGGTCTGGATCTGGACATCCTTAAAGGAAGATCTGCTCAGAGATAGGAGTTTGGTAACTGTGTTTATTTCCCTCTTTCTCAGAACTTTTTAGCTTCTGCACAAATTATGCTTCCCACTAGGGCGTGCATTAATGATGGCTCCTTGTGACTAGTGAAGTGCGTGCCAGGGGCAGGAATGCTGGGTGCATGCTCACAGGTACTCCAAGCCAAGGAATTTAAGTTTAAGGTCAGAACCTTGGTACTGTTTGTCAAGGCCCTTAAAAGTACAGGCTATAAATGCTGACCTGAAAAGCCAGCTGGCTGCTTAAATAACGTTGAACATCCAAGTGCGTGCATCTTCCCACGTCAGGGTTTTTAATACTATCTCATATTTGGGACATTTCTACAGTAAGTTTTCTTCCCTTTGTTTTTCCCCCTTTACACATCATTTTCAGTTCCAAGACTGGCCTAAAGCTTCCCCTGTCCCATAGTGATGACTCTTTTCTTTGAAATAGGGTATATTTGATGTTCATTTTAACAAAACAACGGCAACAAAACTACTGACCAAAAAAAAAAAAAGTGTAAAAATATCTAGGGAAATTCTGAGAAAAAAAAAACAAAGAAGCTGCACTAAACTATTGTATATGAAGGCATCTTACACTGTGGTGCTAAACAGATATTGGTACTGACATATATGAACCATAGGATAAGTGTAACAGAATAGGGATTTCAGAAATAGACTCAAATAAACATAGAGATTGGTTCTAACTTCCACTTTAAACCAGTGGGGAAAAGATGGAGATCACTCATGGAATGATTCTGTGGAAAGACGACATGAGCAGATTTTATTTTTCAAAATAAGATAAGCTACCAGCCAAAAAGAATATGAAAACATCCTCAGCAGCACTAATCATCAGGAAAATGCAAATTAAAATCATAATGAGAAAAAAAAAAAAAGAAAGAAAAAACAGTGAAATTCCACCTTACCCCTACCAGAGGGGCCATTGTTAAAAAGTCTGAAACAATAGATGTTGGCAGATGTGGTGAAAAAGGAACACACGTACCCTGTTGGGGTAAGTGTAAACTATACCACCTCTGTGGAAAACAGTAGCTCAAGGAACTAAAAGTAGACCTGCCATCAGATCCAGCAGTCTCACTGTTAAGTATCTACCCAAAGCACTACAAATCATTTTACAAAAAGATGCTTGCACCCAAATGTTTATCAAAGTCCAAGTCATAGTTACAAAGCTGTAGAAGTAAACTTAGTGCCCATCAGCTGAGGCCTGGACAAAGAAATGTTATGTGTACATACTGTGGAGTACTACTCAGCCATGAAAAGGAATGAAATGATGTATTTTGCATTGGCATGGAAGGAACTGGAGAACATTACCCTAAGAGAAGTGTTTCAGGAATAGAAAAACAAATACCACATTTTCCTACTTATAAGTGGGAGATAAACGATGGCTCTACATAGTCATACAGTGGTACAGTGAACATTGAAAACTCAGAAGAGACTTAGGTGGCAGGGACTGATGGACAAAAATCTACATGGTGGGCCCAATATATACTAATCTGGTGATGGGGACACTGAAAGTCCTGATTTCAGAATTACACAATTCATCCATGTAACAAAAACACTTTGTCCCCTAAATCTATTGAAATAAAAATATTATAAATAACAGACTAATAATAAAGTGCAAAAAATGGCTTT